ATTATTTAAAATAACGAAAGAATATAATCAATTAAAAAGTTCACTATTTACTAATTGCGTATTGATTTACTAAAATTTCCAGCTGAAGTTGATCAACTGGTTTTGGAAAATCAATTGATTTTCTTTTTGTACGTAGCATTAGGGAGTTCGTTAATTACGGTATTATTATAGTTTTTAGGCGAAGATGGTAGCTTACTGCATTATTATAACTTTAAAGTTCATAGCTCTCATTATAGAAATTATAACTTGAAAGCAATTTACGTGGAACAAGTGTGTAAAACTAGATATAGTTTATATCTCGTTTGTAAGATGACGCGATAAACCTTTTGAACGACGATATAAAGTTCGAAACTTTTATAACATTTACTGAATATTTCAGAAATGTAAATACATTATGTGCTATTTTATATCGTTAAATTGTTCTTATCTTCCTTTCATATCTTTTTATTTTTGTTGCCAAGTTATAGTTATGATCTATGCCAAGCTACAGTTAGAATGAAACACTTTTACTACAAATAAAAAAGGGAATGGGGCTTTAAAAACTTGTCGCATTGTATATACATATACGTAACAAAAAAAAAAAAAAAAAAAAAAATAAAGAAGGAAAAGGGAGAAACTGTATTTTTACCGCTAGCGCGGGTTTGTAAATATTTATAAAGTACCTTGATTTAAAAATCGTATTTACATTATCGATTGTACGTATTGCATAAAGAAAATTTGCGCTATTTTGTATCATAAAAACATGCAAAGCAATTGACTGATTAACGATATCATTTATGTTTTAATCATTAGCTATGAAATTATTCGTTTTAATTTTTTCCTTTTGCCAAGTATCTACACGTGTTTTATGCTGATGTGTTACCGAGTTATTCAATTCAGAGAAAACGGGGTCGCGTAATATTTAGGTTAATAATGTAAAATGGAACGAGGTTTCCAAGTAGATAATGTAACACGATCCGAACCCACTTTTTCTGCGTTGAATGCAACAAAATACGCGAATTTGAATTTTCCTTTTCTCCATAGTCGAACAAAATATCATTTACCTTTCTGCCATCCTTTTTATCATATCTCTGATTTTATGTTATCTTCATAAAGTTCCGCACTTCGCTTCAAAGCTTTTGAGATTCATAATTTTCTATTCACCGAATAGACTGCACAGAAGCTTTATGCTTCGCGTTCAAAAGTAATTTTTTCGGAAAAAGATACGTAACAGGAATGAGATGCCCTATTCGAATTGCAAATCTAAGAAATAGCCGAATGGTATATGTTTGCATATTTTTGAACATTTCTAAATATGCAATATTTTTCAAATATTTATCAGTAGACTCAACTCCACAAGACCAATCAACGCTCCACACTCCACAAAATTCATTACTAGAAAGAAAATGCTAGAAAGAAAATCACGTTCTTTCAATTCTTTGAAGCAGTAGTCACTCTGAAGATTAGAAGAGAAGCACGCAATAAGTGAAACCTATTTTTTACAGGAAAGCGAGACTTACGTTTTTAGACCTATCGTGTGTTTCGTTTTTAGTTATGTCGTATTGAAATCCCATCAAGCAAATTATTTAGAAAGTGGAATTTCGTGTAGCCGTCAGTTATTTTTACGGAAAGGAATTTTACAAAGTGCTCTCGAAACAGTTGCTCGGTGTACAGCTCCCAGGCTCTTTCGCACAGTTAATCGTGAATAAATCCACGGGTGCTTTCCTGCATGACTCATAAGATACGCGAAGAATATACAAGTTTTCTCTTGACGGCGCGCCGCCTCGATTATTCAGATTTCAGATGTTGCATTACACCATGGATATTGCATCGTTGGCTGTTTTCGCTGGTCCCTCGGCACGCTGTGTTTAATCAGTGCGGGGCGATCTGACCGAGGTCGTCGACGAATTCAGGGCAGACAAGAGCGAACGAGCGGTGAAATCGCGCGGTTTTACTCACTTTTTATCATCTCCGCGAGATTTCGACGTTGTTCCGCGTGATCGCAGATAAACGAGGCATCTCGCGGACGAAAATCCTTTTGCTGTTTTTTTTGCCGCTTTTTCAAACCAGTTCCGCCGCTTTTTAATAACGTTCCCTCGAAGTTTCCTCTGATCGTCCCGTACGTTGAACGCTTCGAAGAACGCGATAAATCTTTGAGTTTCGTCGAGTCTCGAAAGTTTTCGAGGAAACCAGCTTTGCTTCGACTTGAATTTTTCGCAACTTCTAACTGAGTCCGGTTATTTCAATTATTTAGACTTGGTTGATGCGAGTTGTTTGATTTCGTCTCTTTTATCTGTTTTGTGTATTTAACAGATTCGAGAATGTTTTCATCGACTTTTTATTTGAACATTGCAAGGCAGATAAGTGAATGAAATACGATTGAACGTATCGTTGGACAAATTAGATATACGAAGACTCGGCTCGAATATGTATATTCTCCAATTTATTCTCTCCTACTCGTTTGGATTTATCAACTCGGTTGCATACTCGGTTTTGAAACGTCATATTATATATCTTTTATATTTATAATTATTGCTGTTGTACGATATAAATTTCTGTTTCGAATGCATCTCAAAACCACGATAACATTCGTGCATGGAAATCGTAGAATTTAAAAAATAGTGGTAGTTTACACTTTACAGTAGATTTTGCACTATATTTTAGGTTAAAAATTGGTTGATATTTCACGATTGTTTCATATTCTACGGGACAATGCAGTTTCTCAGAATTATCTAGAATTAATAACTAATGGAATACTTGCATTTCGGATTGCTACGTACCATGGAGAGGAATTAGCGTTTCAAATTCGTGGCTTGGCAACTTGTAACTCGGTTTCAGCTTGAAGTCGTTGCAATACAATGCGTTGTTGTATCCTGTCGAAAATTATTCTGTATGCAGTTTGGCTGTCAAATTTTCATAACAAATTTCCGTTGCTGCCCTTTAATTACGTACTTGATCGTAATCTCGTTATTACTCAAGTGATCGCTGCATATTATAAGATATTTTGTCGACAAATCTATTAAACTTTTATGCGTTCTATACATATGTACATATATATATTACTTATTTTTCCACTATTCGAATATTCTGTTGTTCGAACAAAATGCCTGCTGATAACAAGTATTTCCTTGTGAAAAAAGTGATTGCTGTATTTTCTGCCAGATCCATTATCCGACCATTTTATACATCTAAGAGTCAACCCGCTGATCGTGCACGCTTGCACACGTTGTAAAACAATTCGTGAGAAGGAAAAGCGTGCTGGGGTTAATCGTCGGTGAACGAGCGTAGAGGAAGCGTGGTTTCGTCTGGGAAAGAGAGGAGGAGAACCGGTAGTCTTAGTCGTAGGTCGTAGACTGTAGACGAAGGGGGAGACAGCAACTCGATCTAGCGACGATCCCGACCGGATACCTGAACGGATACGTTCTTCTTCGCCTATACGATCGATCTCTGGGTCGTTTTCCACGAAAGGAACGCATGTCGCGGAACGTTCTCGTTGCCAGCTAACATAGTAGCGCAACTGAAACTGGAATTCGAGTATCAATAATTTACCGCATCGTATGTTCTTCGAGCAAAGCGAACAACCGCTGCGGAATTTGTTCGCGAATTAACGAGAACCGAGGAAAAATGTTAACTAGACGCGCAGGTGTCAAGCGGAAGATCGACACGAGGTTAACTGGTTCTGACGAAGAAAGGTGTCCTTTCGAGTTAGCAGTGTCATTTCCGGTTGAACGTGACGGAAATCCACGGTGTCTGTACCCGTGACGAAGGCGCAGAAACTCATTTCTTGCGAGAAAACAATCATTTTCCTCACACAAAGCGTAGGTCGTGGGCGAATAGAACGTTTAATTGTGATGTTAAATCATTGGATGAACGTAGCTCGTATTATACGTGGATGTTGAGTCTGTGGTCTTAGGATAGAAAGTTTCGTTAGACAGGCTTTTTTGTAACTTTGTTCCTAGAGTATCGGGATTTTAGCGTTTTATGAAGTTTGATGTTCGTTGTGGAGATATCGAAGAATACGGCTATAAAAAGTATTTAAATAACATTGTATTTATTATAGCATTTACACACTAATTAATTAGAATCAAGTTTTTATCGTAAAACTGCTCGCATGAAATATAGAATGTTGTTGCAATTAGGTGGTAGATTTTATAAGTTTACATTATATCGTAAACATCAATATTCACAAATATTCCGTGATCAAAACATTCATAATACGCAGTGTTAAAATTGACATTTAGGTGTAAATATATTCAATAATATTAAAATGTAAATATTTTATTATACGATATGATAATGCATTTCTTGTTAAAATGTTGAGATTATTCCATTTTAATTCTTTAAAAACAATTTCGTCAAACGCGTAGGAAAGAAATTACATTTGCCCTAACGTAATAACTTTAACTGGTTTGTTCTAAAGTTAATTTCTAGAGACAGTAAGAGATGCCCAAATTTTAAGCAAACAATTTATTTACGAATGCCTTGTAAATTTCATAAGATATTTGAGAGGAAAATTACATTCATGGAAGCAGATGTAATTTCAATTTTCAGTAAAATGTAAATGCTCGTTTCATTTATTCCTCTTTCATTCTGTGCTCTTGGAATTTTTTATAATCGCATCAGAAAATTACTCGCGTTGCAAACTAAAATGTTCAAAGTGGATAGAATGACATAAATAATACGATAATATGTACGCACGTTTTTAATGCTGGTTTAGAACTCATGTTCCTGTCACACTGTACTACGCTATACATAGCGCTCAAAAGTAGCGAGCATTATCGCTAAAAATATATTTCCTGACCGAACGAACGCACAAGACGTAATTTCAATTTATTTCATGCAAGACCTTCGCGTCATTCTTCCATACTTTACCACCATCTTTATCTTTCCTAAGCTCAACGACTGCAAGCAGGAATTTATATCGTCACAATTGCAATACTCTATTTTATTTAAGCATAAATCGAGAGAATTTAATCTCGTTCGAATAGCGGAATGCTCTTTCTACGTTATATACACTGTACTGTATGTTATTATACCAATGCAATGCCGGAAGAACGGAAGAATTTATGGCGATTCGATGGTTCGGCTGTGTGACCCTGCAAACCTTATAACTCGTGTAACCTGCCTTTTCGTCCACGATCGTCTGGTAATTTAATCTTCGCTTTAAATTACGATGTTCCTGTTGCTACGATGTTAGTTCTCGTTCTCGTAACGAGTGACTTCGTTCTAATAAGTGTAATCAGCCAAGGTTTCTTGACGTCGAATGAAATTATCGGAACAATGTTGATTTCTCGATCGAAAAAAAAAAAAAAGAAGAAGGAAAAATATCGATCTGATCGTATCACGCCGGTTAAAGACGTTCCGTTGGAAACATTGCAAATTTTCATCAGTATCTGCAAATACTGATGTAATTTAATCGTTAACATAATCAGGTGAGGACGGAAGCAATCGGATAGTTCAAATGATGCTGTGTCGTAATTTTAAGTTCTTTTCTAAAGTAAGTGGTTTGATACTCAATAGAATATTTAATGAGACATTTTATTTAATCATTGTTTTATTAAAATACGTATTTTAACGACCGACTGTGAACGTTTAATTAATACTTAATTTTATGAGTTACAGTGTTGGTAATTGGATTTAAACGGTCGTGTCGTAAAATTGTTTTTGCATAAATTGACTTAAATTGAAATTACATGAATTAGAGCGACCTGCTATAGTGGGTTTTAATCTGTGTATAAATTTATGGTTAAATTATTTATATTTGTACGAAATTTATCTGCGTCAAATTTATAGAGAAATAGAAACTTACTTCTTCGATATTTTTAAAATGTTAAACCAAGAACGATATTTTTAATCTTGATAAATTAGATAAGCCAGAACTTCATTCAATAACTTAAAAATAATCTTGTTTATGGCCATTTTGTTCGTACGACATTTCTTTAGCGAAGTAATATTCCGAGTTAGAGAGTTAGTTCAGCGTACACGAAATACAGGGAATTTCACGAATTAAAGAATGCAACGTTGTCTCGGTGACTGGGGCTTCTATTGCGTTTTGAAAAAATTATGAGGACATATAAATTTTTGGCGAGCCGGTAGCGAGCTGCGAGCGTGTCGCATTAATTTCGTACGACTGCGCTGAAATTTAGTTACGCGCGATATATTCGTGGTTGGCGGCAAACCGCGAAATTGGATTCGAAGAAAAGACTGAACAATTTTTTCTTGCAAAGTAGTCCGTCATAATGCTAAAAACGAGTGAACTTTTCTAATATAAAATGCAGGAAAATATGCCACTTTTTAAAACCTGTAGGCCCTCGTTTATTAGAATGGATTATCGGAATATCGATTATTGGAAAATTTGAGGGTGGACCAGCGTAAAAAAGATTATATAACAAGGATAGAAACTGAAAGAAATTGTTACACTTTTATTCAGAAATTTTTGCTTCTGTTTAATATTAATATTTATAAGATAGGGTCGAACTCCAGTTACCTACCTGAACTTCATTTATGCGAACGAAATTTTAATTAATAGCCGATTAAATACGCTTGAAATACAATTTGAATACTATTTATATTAAAATATGGAATGTACAAATTCATGCATAAAAGATTAGAATTTGTAATTAGAACGAGGACAAAGTGAAACGATGGCTACAAAAACTTATTCAGTTCATTAAAACGCGTGCGACTAAATCGTAGAGATAATTGCAAGACATAAATTCGAAGCAAAACTTCGGCTATTTCATCGGCCCAACGTAATTATACTGAAATTATGTTACTGAAATTGAATCTAAATATTCTGTTGAAATTATTTTATTGATCTGAATAGGTATATACGGATTTCAAATGTGAAGGGTAAAATTCATTGGTTACTCCATGAGTTTCCAGGTCAGTTTCGAAAGTACATTAACATGAGATCATGTACATTGTGAATCTCTTTCTTCCTTTTTTTTGATTGGCAACTCTATTGGTATTATCGTATTACGATTGTGAGTCATCCTCGTGAAATTGTGATTGACTCATCCATTCATGGATAAGCATAATTTGTCAAATACAAATTCGAATGACGGAACGATCGACTACTTTAAATTCATTGTTTCCATTCGCTTGAGTCACGCATAGTCTCAGTGATACGTAATCCCATGAATGGCCGATGTTCTCACGAAATATTTATCCATGGAACTTTCACGGTTAGAGGACCGTTATATGTATATTGGAAGTGCTCGCATGTCCCAAAGAATAATCTATCGAAACGATAGGAATTATTAAGCTTTCTCATTGACATAAGTTCTCTAGAAAATATTTGGATAATTTTATTTTAACGTTGGGAACGTTTTTCGAAAAGTGAAGGACAGCTAAATCTAACGATATAAATATCATATCGTAGGTTAATCAAGTAGGAAGTTGAGATAAAAGTTGGTTTCTTTGCTTTGAAAGGACAAGAATCAAGGAGCTGTCTTATCAACGTAATGTAAAGAATGCCACTGTTTTTCGTCATTTTTGAATTTTCCATCGCCCCGGTTACATTGCCTGATATTTTTCAACTTGCAACCAAGAAAAGTACTCAAAGGGATACGATAGCGTTTTCAGATACATAGATACTCGAGAGGGAAGTGAATCAGGCTGCTTCCACTCAAGTTACTCTCGTGCAAACACTTGACTTATCAGCCGTTTCGCTTTAATAAGCTAATCGATTCGTATGTATAATTGCTAATGGATATCTTATCGCTGCTGCGGTTATGTTTTCATATTTAATATGAGCTGCATACAATGTAATCTAAATGAATCTAGATCGCCATTACGTCTCTTTTCGTGATAGCTAACGGGATTGCGTATTGCGGTTATCGGTTTTCCAATGATAATAATACCGCGATCGAATATTTTCCTAATGATTATTCGTTACGATTTTACTATACTATTTTTTTTTTTAGATGGATTATTACGAAGCAGTTTTGCAGAATTATAAATAGCATAATAGTCCACGGCGAGAACAGACTTTGCTTATCTTCGAGGTATTATGGCTTGGTACCGATATCTTGAAATCGTTTATTTCTTATTAAATGATAATACTTCGATGAATGAGTCTCTCGGAAGCGGGATTGACCAAACGCTTTTGTCGATTCCTTAGTTTCATTATATAAGCGGATGATCAATCTACAATTCTCAAGAAACAGAGTGGTCCATAAAGACCTTAATCGATATAAATATAATAATTTACAGAATAAACATTCAAATATCTGGAAGAAATTTATTTTGTCGATCTTTAAGAATGTTATCTGATACTGTATCCGAATATTACGTGAGTAGGAGAGAAATTTTCACGTTCACATTTCTGAGATGTGAAACGTTATATAAAGAATCCCTTTTGCATTTAATCAATACGAACGCTCTTAGCCAGCAAATATCGAAGGTGATATTTCTACGGGTGTATTTATTCGAATTTCTCGGCGCGAACCGAATTCAGTGTGTTCGATGAATTTAAATTAGTTGCGCGCTGTCGCGGAATCTTCCTTTCGCATAAACATCCATGAATCCATGAACGATCTTCGCTGCATTTTATAATAACGTTTCTGGTTAATAGCATCAGATGAATCATGAGCTGCAGGCCACGTCTCGAAGCTGAAATCGCGTAGGCGTCCAGCGCAGCGTGGCCGAATAGTTCGATGATAACACGATCTCCTCATTTAGATAAATTAATCTAACTAGTACCTTGTGCTCTGTTCATACCCAGGCCCCAGTATCCTTTATCCATACATACTACCAGCTCGAAGCTGTAATTATCTTTCACCAACGGCAGTGGTGTCTCTGAAGCACGGCCACACGCTTGATACTCGTCGATACCCGTTTCATGTCGATGCAATTAAAATAATAGCAGCACCCTGGATCCTAATTTCGCGCAACCTAATGCCAAAGAACGATAGGAATCCGGTGATACAGAGAGTTTTCAATAAGAGATCGATGATATATTTTATTAACTTTCAAGAGAATATTGCTGGATTGTAGTTATCGATTTTGAGAATATTTTGGTATATGACGAGTGTAAAAAAAAATATTCAATGAATATTGACTTTCATCGATAGTCTTGCACAGCGTAGAGGTGAAAATTATCCTCCAGTGTAATTTAGGGGTTGTCAAAATATTTGAGTAAATATCTTGGAAATTATTACAGCTAGAGTAAAAGTGTAAATGTATAAACTTAAAATGATTTCGAAATCCAATATAATTCAATATAATCGTGGATGTTAATCAAATATTCTATAATTTTTATTTCGTAATCTTGTACTGTATAATTGACAAAAATTCACACCTCCGGAAATTTTCTATTTTTCAATTTATTTTTACGTGGAAAGATACCAATGAGCAGAGTTAAACACCATCATTTCTTCGCGATGATCGGTGCAACGATAATTACAGGGTTAATGCCTACGTGCAACTGACTCACAAATAAGAGTCTACGAAAGGAGCAAGATTCCCTTAAACATATGTTCGTAGGCGCGCAGGACGTCAGAAGCGCGTTTTCCGCTCTGCCATTATCCAATTACCGAATCGTATCTACCTACGGGATACTGAAATGTAATTTAAGAAAATTACATAACGTCAACCGTTGAAAAGTTTTAGCGACGTTCATGACACATGATAATAGGATTTATATATTTTTCTATTAATTTCACAATGTGTCATCGAGATGTCAACTCGGTGTAATCTCAATGGACTGAAAAATTTTTTTAAACAGTTTCATGAAAAGGAAAAATCATTAAAGCACTTCTGAATACAGCGAGCGTCGTTTGGTTGAACGAAGTAATGAGAAATCTGAGTGCAAAAGTGATTTGAATAATTAGCACGATGTCATACAATTATTCATCCTCGACGCATAATAAACTGCAATCAATTATGTAAAATTTTTCATAATCTGGAAAATCGCATAAAAGTTACTGATTTAATTGTCGATATTCAGTTACGATTGCTGCACAATCTTGATGTAAAATCAATTTACCGCATTTTTATTATCGAAGGTAACTGCCATCTAAATCAATATCAACTTTTATGCATATCTTCGTTTTTCAATGATATTCGCATTCCTTTCGTATTTCCAATGATAAAGTGTCACAGTCAAGTGTTTTTACTGTCTACGATGTCTAGTTGTACTCGTAATATTACGCGATCACTTCAGTAGTAATAAGAATTCAGTAGTAAGATTTATTTAAAGCCATAAATGGATAATTTTCTTATCTTTAATATTCTTTTTAAATAATACACAATATTCCCTTATTTTTATCTTAAAAACAGTCATTAAAGAATAACGTACAATTATTTTAACTTAAGAACACAAAAAGAGACACTCATTTTTCTCTAGGGGAGGGAACTTGTAGTCCCTGTATAATAACTTTTATAATTTCTTTTCTATAGTATGTTTTATACTGTATCTTCTGTAACAAAATAACATATTCCACTTTGCTTTATCGATGCAATATATTTTATTCACACGGTTACAGTCTCCGTTTAAGGAGTCGATAGTAAGTTAATTTGCAAGGGATATTGCCTACTAGGACGTCGATTAGTTAAATACGCGAAGAATGTGGTTTTGATCGTGAGTTTCGGTATTGGTAAATTTCGCGCAAAAAACGTTCGCAGAAAAGAATGTGTGTGGTTTCTATGCCGCTTCAGATACGTTAGTAATAAATTAATGTACAACTACGGGAACACGTGTGTTTCTAAGAAAACCTGGATTTCATTCGTTTACGATATAGAATGGAAATAGTTCATGAATAAACCGTTTGGAACGTACGATATATTTTTAACTAGCATGTCACGTCGCAATTATGTCGATCCCTGATCAATGCTGTAAACATTTTGAATTCATTTTGATTCTATTTTAGTTGTTACTCTTAAAACGTCGATAATTTTGATCTGACGTAATTTCGTATTGTCGAATTATATTCGCGAAAATGTGAATTACATAAAAATCCGCAGTCCACAAATGAAATGTATTTATAATTCAATGATTTGTTATTAATATAACCTCTATTAATATGACACCATGATAGAGATATTATAGATTGCATAATTTCATGATAATTACAGTTACAATATTATAATATTATATAATAATATTCTATTATCTTTGATTCGACATTTGTAATTCATTTACCAGGTCATCCTGGACGTATTTTGATTGCATTTTATACGTTCAAAATATTTATGCTCTCTTTAATGCTTTTCAAATGGATTTTTCGTGAAAAGCCTATAAATCGTTTTTCGTTTATATTATTCGTATGGGCAATTTACCATTTATTCGATTTATTTTTCTCGCGAATGTTAGCGCACGCAATTGATAAATATGCGGCGTTTTATTTTATCAGCTTCTGCAACGCTATTTTAAACATCACACGGCCTGTGAAAATGGCGTGTCAGTTCGTAGTGCACTTGGGTGCAGGTAATCAACAAGAGATTTAATGTGCATCGGTGACAGATTTGGATAAGCTCCAACTTCTTAATGATGATGGACATTCTCTAACTGTGTCTGCCAACAAAGATGTCACGTTCAATTAAAACTATACCGTGTCTTCAGGACCTTGTGAACCGTCTTCTCATCGATTATGATCAGTGGTGTCTTGAAAATTCGCCTGACCTCGTTTAATTTATACTTGACCGTATGTATTAAAAAACGTGTCGAAGTATGTAATAAAAGCATGGTATAACTACTGTTTGATTGTATAGAATCGAAAAGAAACAGCCGTCTGAAATTTAAATGGAATATTTATTAAGAATTTATTTTTCTTTCTCCATGTTAAAATAAATTATCTATTCCGCGTTCAACCTGAAAGAATCCTTCGGACTGCACTTTGTAACATTTAATTCCATTAACGTTAATCTTTATATTCGTGATGTAAAAGGTTAATAATTCCTCCATACTCCTCCATACTCAATTCCTCCTCACTTTTTCATACTATGCACTTTTTCGATCTGTATACAATCCGTCTCGTGTTAGCTTAAATTTTAAACGAACGATTTTTGTACGTAAAAACTCGATTAAAATACAATGTTATATCTGAAAGTCGATGGCTATAGTCTCGTTATTGATACAGAAATATTTATTTTATTAATTAATTATTAATTAAAAAACAATCGCATCAAATGCTATAATATTTAAATAAATTGGTTTCTTTTTAGATTTACGATACCATATTTAGTTACTTGGTAGAAGATATTCAACAAATATTCCTGATAAGGGATTGGACTTTATAGTTCGCCCGATGGGAATGTTAATGCTTCTTTAGAATTAATGCGTTTTTTGTGTCGTGCATTGAAAAGGTAAATGGAGAGAGAAATTCATGCGAAAAATCCATTCTTTAAAACTTTGAAACTTTACGTTATCGTTGTACCGGAAGCTTACCAGTGATTTAATGAAATTCGTTGTCGTTAATTATTATCGAGCTTCATGACTGGCGTACAGACTCACGACGTATTCACGTTAATTAAAGTCACGTAGAGTGGTACACGTATCGACATCGACACAAGGGGGGAATCTTGTTAACATTTTTCCTGTTTGCCATTTTTACAATTAGTTATTTATTGCCCTTGTGTCACGCCCTATCACCGCACGAATGAGGTTTATGATTAATAACCGAGCGGATCCAGCTCGTTCTTATTAAATTGTAATTATGAGTGATCGATTCATCGAAGCTTTCGTACCTTACGAGATTGAAAGTCGAAGAACTTTGAAATTAAATTTCCTTGTCTTAATCATGATGTATTAACCTTAATAACATCTTGTTTACAAATCCGAGCAAATCCAAAAGTGGCGATAAAAATTCTTATTGAATCTTCTTATTTGACAAATGCAGAAGATGAACGCGATAAGTTGCATTTTCTGTATTTTGGATTGCTATCTAGAAATCCATAAAGTGCATGTAATACGCAAAAACATATTACATTAATATTATAAAAATTATAAAATACAGTGCTTCTTATGATATGTAATAAGTAGTATAATTCCTAAATTTTATTATACTAATTATGCTCATAGGTATATGAATTCGTATAAATAGCCACATTCTACTAGTACCGAATGTTTCACCTAGAGTTTGTTATTATCAATTTTCCTACTTAACATCGATTTCCTCGCATTTGGATTTAGTATAGTTGCAGTGCGATTGGTCACAGTCCTCGACGTAATTGGTCATTATTAATACCGGGAATTTCTTGTAAGAAGTCCGTCCACTTTCGATACGAGCCTTCCCTTCCACCAGTGAACGTGGACAGAGAATCAATTGTACGTATAAACGCGTATAAATAATGTTAACATTTAAATATCGCAAGTGTGCTGACTATTACGCAATGTGTTTTAAACACGAGCCAAATGCTGTATCCTGATATCTGAGAATCGTATTATGTGCTAACCTTGATGGTAGTCAGGAGGAATGGTAATTAGTATGTAGTATGTAATTACATAATCAAATCCAACGCGTCTGATATTTTGACATGATTCGCTGTTCTCAGACATTGGATTCTTTCTTCATTTCGTACATTTTATTTTGTATGGAATTTAGTTTAATTTCAGGACAAATTTTGATGGTGCCTAGAGATTAATCTTTTTATTGTTTAATTTTATCTTTTGTCTCTTTTTTATTTATTTTTTTTTTAGAGAGAATTATGAGAAGTACAAGATTAATTAACACATGTTTTTCAACAGAGATAACATTAATAATTTAAGGATTAAAATTTGTATGGAAACAATGATTGTGTGGCACATGTGTTAATTACAATGAAGGGTAAGGAACATGGTTAGATCATCGAAGTCATTGTGTCTTGACCAATTGATATTCGATCTGCTTTAAATAGTTCAAGGCCTACCTATTAATAATAACTGCCATTCGCTTGAAATTAACGGTATCGAATGTTGCTTACGCAATGGCTTAATAAAAATTACTTCCTGGAAAAATCCTAACGATATTTCCTTGAACTACTTAATTCTCCTATAATAAGAAGTGTTTTTATGCTGTACCTTATTAAAAGATTGCTAAAAGCATGCGCTTCCTTACTTGATGCTGATTCAAAGGAAATTTAACGCGTAGATGAAACGTTAAAACGTGCAAAATACTATTTGATCGAAGTAAATTTGCATAATATAAATTTGTAATATCGCATTTAATTTGTTTAGCGTTTAATATAATTATTTCTAAACTCCAAATTTATAAAAGTTTTCTTGTTACCTCGGTATAATACGATCAAGTTTTATATTATTTATGTAGCGTAAAACCATATTTCTGTGTGTTATGCTTTTGAAAAGAACAGAATGTTTATTTTAAATGCCTCTGTGTCCCTTGTGTCACTTTTTCAACTTGAAAAAGGTACGGAAAAAATGAAAATTCCAAACTCCAAGCGAAAAGATTACTGGTATCGGCTTGCAAGGGAACCAACGACGCATCGCACAGGACGATACGATAGTAACACGCTCGATAATACTCCAGCCAGTGTGTAAATCAAATTTTACCCTTACGGACAGTTCCATTGATAATCGCGTGCACGAAGGTCAGTCAACTCCATGTGGTAATAATTTACTTGGTCAGGAGACAAGCTAAAACTGTGCATACTTGTGCACACACAGTCACGGAAGATGGGAAACTTCAGCTAGCTGAATTTACACTGCTCCGCCGCGCGACATTGCGAACACAAGAGGAAAAGGGAAAAATGCTTCGCAGGTTTTGTTTGAAGTAGCCCGTAACCTACACGATTTTGCTATTTTCCTCCATATAAGAATCGAGACTCGCTACTTTCCTTCTACCGTTACTTCGTATTTTGTATTCTTCTTTACCGCTTCTCCTTCCTTTTCCGCTTTTGTTTACAGAAAGGATCGCAGCTGCGAACTATGGATTTCCGTCGTTTTTTCGATACACTGAAGCGCCCCGAAGTGCTACAGCTCGATTTAGAGACGTTATTTATGGGTACGGTTTTCGGTAGCGTTTCCACGAGGAACTTGTTCCATTCGTTGCTGAATAGGGTGATGTTTCTTAAAGCCGGCGATCCACTGGGGCTAACGCGACACGCTTATTTCGATGAAACTTTATAGATACGTGATGTAGCCTTTTATAATCGTAAGAATATAATAGCCCAGCGATAGAAATGTTAGGCTAATTTCAGTAAAATTTATTTTAACGTTATTCTACTATTTCTGTCTGCGTGTCAATGCCCGACAGAAGGAGCGTTTCAATCGTGCCAAAAAGATAGTGTCGTTGACTGAAATCATTTACGTTTAAACTTCTCGTGTCGATGGTTTATAGTATGAAATACAAGGAAAGCGTAGTCTGCCAAGTCTTTCAGCGGAATGAATGCAATATACCATGATGACTTCTCTTCCCTTTCTGATCGAATGATCTCATTTTTTGTAATGAAATACAATATACGATCGTACAGGCACAGTTTCGATCGATTAATGTTCGTGAAATGCCGTGCGTTTTCAATATGTGAAAGGGATGTGTTAAAGGAATTGTTACAGAAGATAACAGTAGAACAGAATATTATATGGAGAGAGAAACTAAACTAATTAATGAAAAATACGGTGTATGGGAGCAGGCGTATACAGAATTTTGATTGGTTTTTAACATTAGGGTTTTACATCTGCAACAGCTGCGTCCTCTTCGCACGAAAAATTTATGGTCATCTTGACGCGTCTAATCAGTGGCTGATCGATACAAAAACATAAATAAACGCAAAAAGAACGTAAATAAATCGTAAATAATCGATATAAGAACGTAAAAAGAGACGAAATATTTTATTAGATTTCCCACACGAAGTTAAAGAATTTTCATGTGAAATATTTTTCCATATTTTCAATAGTTAAAAAAATAATGACGTGTATGCAAGTAAACCGGGTATTGCGATTGTCAGTGCTGTTTCAACTATTCACTGTTCGCTCTGGATCATGAGAGCGCCGTTTTTCCATGAATCGCCCGTTGTATTCGTTCAAAGTGAAACAGTGTAAATTCGCCTTAAGCCGATCCAAGCTTAACCGAACCAAACTGTGTAACGCTAAATTGCCACAGCTCTCGACATAGACCCTTTGTATTTGTTTCAAAAGGCAATATTTAACAGTTTAACACATAGCATTTCAGTTGCGAACAAGACCACCATCCGTGCTTTCTATTCCAACGGAATTTCTTTCCTAAAAATCAGTAAATTTGTAAGCGCAATATCTCAAAAACTAATTGAAATCGATCGTATACATGAAAGGTTAATGAATTCGTCTTCGGAAGCGGTATCGAACGATCTGAAGAGAAATAACACGAATTTGATTTGCACACTGCAAATTTAGGATGCGCACGGCGTGCCGCAATCATCAGGTCTTCCGCAGATGGCTCGGTTGCAGCACAATAGAAACAACAAGTAGCTATGGAGTTTCCCAACGGATGGGTCATGTAAAATTCATATAAAATGAATAATAAAAAAATTTGCTATCTGTTTTTTATCATCCGTATATTTATTAAATTTGCTTTTTTAAATTAGGACATTCGGCGTTTACAACATTAAGTATTTAGCGTTAATTGTGTATTTATTGTTTATTCGTTTTTTGTTATTCGAATAAATTTTTATTGCTAATCGTAACAAGTTTATAAACTGGCAACTGACGAGCAGAGATAGTAGCGTGGCGTGGACCGAAAGGCTCCCGTGGTGGGCCTTGTGAGGTCTCCGAAAAATTATTCACGATGCAATCTCGTATTAGCCCGAGTCAAATGGGCCTTCCAGGTACTTG